CGCCGCTGTCACTCGCTGCCGTGGGACTGCGGGTTGGCTCCGGGCACGGGGGAGCTGCCTGAGCCTCGCCCGAGGGATGTGGTGATTCCAAAGGGGCCTGGAAGCCTCAGCGGCGACTTCTGTCAAGGGGATGTGCTGAAAAAATATCGTCACGGAATGGTTCGGGTTGGGAGGGATTTTAGGCACCGTCTAGCCCCAACCTCTGCCATGGACAGGAGCAGCTCTGGCTGGAGCCGAGCTCCGTCCAGCCTGGCCCTGAACCCCTCCAGGGATGGGGCAGAGCACTGCCAGGGTTTCAGAGCTTGGAGTGCACTCTGGTCAAGCCAAGCTGCTCTTGGCTTTATTTTCCTTCTGCTGAATCCAGCGCTTCTAACCAAGGACAACCTGTGTCCTTTGTGGCTGGTCTTGTGGCTTTCTCTTGTGGCTATAAGTGAGGAAGGGCTTGAGTTTGCCTGGAATGAGCTACCCTCATCTGACCTAAAGCTTAGCTTTACGTGAGCAGACGTGGGGGTTTGTGTAATTAGGGAGAAACCCTCCTGTAAAATGATCTCCTTCAGTGCCATCTACGTGATGTTTACCATGCAAACAAACTGCATTGGGTAGTTAAAAGGAGTGCTCGATAAAACCCCGGGATTCCATAGGCTACTGTTCCCACTGTTTTGTGTCAGTGTGACAGGCATCCTTGACTCTTCACCCACCTGGAATATGCACTGCAAAACTGGACTTTAGTTTTCAGTCGGTTGCTCTGTCCTCTTTAAAGAGTCCTTCCTTGAAACGAAATCACAGTGAAAACTGCAGTTATCAAAGTTTTGATTTGTACTGAATTCACTAGACCAACGCATTTAACATTCACATCTTTTTGTATACATGAAGAGTCAGTATGTTCAACACTTCCACTGTAAAGGTTCCAAGCTCCTGGGAGAGACATCCAGCCTGTGTGAAATGTGGCAGCTTCCAGCTGCTTTTATGGAAACACTGGGAACATCTGTGTTCCTTCTTCTCCATAACTGTAGCAGCAATCAAATAAGGTTGTGGGGGTTCTTTTGCAGTGCTTTTCACTGCACTGCCACTTTTATTCACCACCATAATGCTGTAATTAATAAGTCCATTTGTAGGGACTCTGTGTGTGTCTGTACATATATATATACACACATATCTGCTAGAGTCTCTACTGATGGTGTGAGAAAAGCCACAGCACAAGCAGGTATTGAAACTCAACCTCTGCCACTTGTTTCAGCCCTGAGTGCCTTGCAGGTGGGTCTGTGGGAGAGTTATGCAATAGATGTCACTCTGACTGGAAAAAAAAAAAAAGTAGGTTAAAATGACAGACTCACATTTTATCTCTGGTGAGATAATTTCTAGTCTAATTTAGGAATATAAATGTCATTATCATGAAATTGTGAGTCAGTCCTGAGAAATAAGAACGTGCTTTCTTCTCTTCTGGCACAAGGAAAGCTTCCAGTGAAATAACTGGTCTGAAAAGGTATTTCTTTGGCTGCCCAAGGACTGCAGAGAGCCTGGCACACTGATTCCCCAGGCTGAGCATGTACTCCCTCCCCCTTGACCTCTTTGATTGAACTTCTCAGCACAAAGACATCTTACACTTAACAGAAGTCATAACTTCTATAAATTGGTCGCACACATCATATCCGAGTTAGCCTCTGGTATCCCCCTGCTCTGATGTGCTGCTGCCAAATTCATCCTTGAAAAATTGTGGATGTCAGGATGAGGGAAGAGCTCTCCCTGGCTGGGTGCTTGCTGGAGTGCTGCCAGGAGAGGTGTTCTGCTCCAGGCATTTGACAAGTCGTCCCTGATAACAAGCTTGGCTTGGTACCTTCCTTGTTTTCAGTTGTTTCTTACTCTGCAGTCAGCAGTTTTAAATGATTCAGTTATCTATTATTAATAAAAACTAATGTCAGTCTTCTTGAAAACTTGACTAGCTGTTCAGGGAATGTCAGTTCAATGATTTATACTCACCCCACATTCCCTAGTACTGCGAATCTGAATTGGTGTTTCAGAAGAAAATAAAGATAGTAATTAAAGCTGCTCCCATGGGGCCTCTGTAGGACTGATTTGTAGCGAGCTGTATTTGTAGCCTGACACTGACCTGCTGAGTAGCTGCTGCTGCCAACAACAACTGAAGTTTATATCCCTAAAGGATGAATATTGGACTGTATTTATTCAACAACATTAGACAAAAAGTAATGTGTTTGTGGTTACTAACTGCAGTTTGAAACTTGATCATGATCACAAGTGGTGTGGGTTAGAGAGGGCTTTATGCAAAGCTGCCAAGCCAGTCTTTGTTGCTTTCTGTGCTGCAGTTGCCCTGCCCTTTTTAGGGCTTAGTTGGCTTTAAGGTGACGGAGCAGCTGGTGTTTGTAACAGTTAGTGTCATACCCAGATCATGAGTTGCTTCACAGGTGTGTGCTGTAGAAGCTTGTTAAATTTTCCCAACTCATAGTTTTAAAGCTTAGGGTGCTTAAAGCAGAAAGCATAAATAGTTACTGCAAGGCAGAATGGTTGGTGAAAAAATAGCTCACATAAAAAGTAACCAAAGTCCCAGTGGTTACTCATAATATGTAACATATTAGTGAAAACTTGGCTTCCTCTTGCCTGGTATCAGAATGCTGAGCAGGGGCTTAGTGAGACCCAAACATTAGCATGTTTTGATGCAATTTGAACCAGTGTCCTGACTGTCTCCCAGGATGGTGGGTTGGTACCTTGGATCATGGTCTCTGGTTTAAGACTCAGCCCAGTAGTCCTAGATTAAAGATTTCTGGCATGGCTGTAGCTGTGGCTTTATAGTACTTTGTTTTCTCTTCCTTCTGGGGATTTTGTCCTCTTTCCCCATAATCCTCCTTTGCCTCCTGGTAGCCTGTTAGGATGTAGGTTTGGGTGGGAAGCATTGTTTCTGCCAGAAAGACACAGCTATTCAGAGGCACAGGTTAGAGGTGAAGGGGAACACTCTCTCTGTGACATTGGCTGCTGCCTCCTTTTGCAATTTGTACTCTCAATTGAACCATCTAATGCTGCTGTGCATGAAGAGGTGGGCTGGGATCTGGGAAAGGAAGGAGGAACTGACTTGTTACAGTACCAGTAATGAAATATTTTGGAGTTATAGTTTGTAGAATTCAGTTCACAAAGATTTAAAATACTAATTCTGCTAGTCCAGCTATAGAGTAACATTTAATCATTCTTTGGAAACTGTCTTTGCTATTCCTAGGCTTTATCCTATCTCTTTTCATTATAAATGCCATTTGCCTGCTCTAGTGTCCTCAGCTGCTTAAAAATGAACATAAAAAAATCCTACTCACCTGTTGCAGAAATGTGTGGGCTGATTACACAACTGAAGGTTGGTGCACTGAGTTAATGAACTCTGAGTATTAGGTGCTAGAGCTTGTGCAGCAGCAGAAACTGTGCTTCTATACACAATTCTTTATTAAAAAAACCCAAACCAACCCAAACTTACTGTGAGTGTTAAAACAGATACATCTCACTGAATCATTTAACTTCTTTTCTCTTTCCCCCGCTCCTCCCTCAGGTCCCAAAACAGTGTTCTTCTGGGCACCTGTTATGAAATGGGTAAGTACGAGCTGCCAGCTGTGTCTGGGTGTCAGGCAGAGGGCAATCTACAGCAATCCACTGAGCAAGCAATAGTTTCCCAGTAGATATCTGAGCCTACAGAAAGATTTAGCACCGAGGCTCTTAATTTTTAATATACAGTGAGGAACAAAATTAGTGTTACTAACATAGAGCACAGCGTACAGGGGGATACAGTGTGGAGAGAATGCTTTGGGAGGAATTTGTGCTTCACTCAAAGTTTCACAGAAGCTATCTCTTGTGAAACATTAACTGTTGCTCAAGGTAGGCATGAGCTGGCATAATTCTAAACTCTTAAAGCATGTATTTCTTCTGAGATTGATGAATTTGAAGAGTATCTTAAGGAAGCCAACGCCTAAGCCTCATAGCTTGAAAGCAGAGTAAAGCGTGTCAGACTCCAAGGTAGTCTTGAGAAAACAAAAGAGAAAGGCCATTGCCATTTTGGCTATCAGTAGCCCTCTGCCTCCTGTGAGGTTCTGCTTCCCACTTGGCTATACCCCTGAGCTATGTCTGTGCTCAGCTGCAGAGTATGCCTCCTCCTAATTCCCTGTACTCCTAGTTGTTGTATTAGTACAGATAAAACAAATGACCTCTAAAATCAGAGAGCTCTTTGATCTCCTTGTTTGGTAACAAACAAGGATGTAACCTGCTCCTGCTATTGCCAGCTGGTTCATAACTTTGCCATTGTGAACCCCAACTCTTTACAGGCCACAGGCAATGCATTATGCTCTAAGGTACAGCTTGGTGTCTTGGCCAGTCTAAACTGGAGCTGCAGTAACCATGCTTAACCTTCCCCTTCCTCAGAGGTTCTCCTGGCAACACACTCCTGAGCCTGAGCACACAGGCAGCTCTTCTAAGCAGGGTGGTATCCATTGCTGCTGTATCCAAAGAGCTTATACACAGCTGGTTTTGTTTTTGTGAACATGCAGGAGCACTTCTCTAAGCTCACAGTGGATTTTGTTCCTGAGAAGTTAAAATTACTTTCCCCTAGATGGCAAAGGCACATTCACTGCAGTTACCCACGAGTGCCATGGCACCCTGCAGCAGCAGCAGCAGTCCCATAAGTGAGGCAGCAAACAGGAGTCTCTTCCCTTGAAAACTCGTTTATTTGTTGGAGCCACTGGAGACCTTAGTGGCAGTCAGGGAATTAAAAGCATTAGGACTCTTTTACTTGTGGAATGTTGGGTTTGGGTTTTGTTTGGGTTTTTTTTTGTGAACTGGTGTCACGCAAACATGAAGTTTTATTTCCAGCAGAGGGCAATAACAACAAACAAACCAAGCAGCATTTGCTAGTATGTTGTCAAGTCGATCAGCTAAGCTATTCCTCAATTCACCTGGAAGTTTTCTACTGTTACTGAAATTTTATTTTAAAAGAAGCACTTTTAACCTCCACAGATGAAGCTGAGTGAAGACTATATGGTTTTACACCTGCATCTTTAGGAAGAAGGGCCTTATTTAGATAAGCTTCTACTTGTTGCTTACCAAAAAATGGGTTTTTTTTCAGCTGCTTTCTTAAGCAGCTGTGCTTAAATTAACCTTGTTCTTGAATTAATGCAAAATTGCCACTGCCTGGGAGTTCACTGCCAGTCAGTTGCAACCCCCATAACTGTGTTCTTATTCCTGCCAGAAGGGACCGGAAGTGAATGTTGTCTCCAAGGGTCTAATTGCTCATATAATGCATCCCATCTCTGGCACAATGCATCTAGAATAAGCACGGAGCTATGAAGCAACTTCCCTTTGTAAAGCCTTTGATCTGTTACAGGAGGTCCTGGGCTGGTGCTCACTGAATTTCTCTTTGCAGGGTTTGGTGGGTGCTGGACTGGCTGACATGGCCAGACCAGCAGACAAGCTCAGCACAGCACAGTCTGCAGTACTGATGGCCACAGGTAAAGCCAGAGTTACTTCGTGTTTTCACACAGCACCCTCTAAATCTGCATACACTCCTTTCCATATCCTCCATCAGTACTAATCCATTTCCACAGAGTTACCTATAACATGCTAGCTTGCACTGTTGCTGTTGGATGATAGTTCTAGGATATACCTATACTTGTTATTGAATCAGTAAGAGTTCTGTGATTATATAACAGTTTTCTACATGTCTTAATTTGAAGTTGTCCAGAGCAAGCTGCTATGAGTTAGGACACGAGATTGATCCCTGAAGTTATCATAATACCACTCATTCCAGTAAGTGACCTCTTTTGCTTCAAGTCAAGAAATTTTGAAATCCATCCATGATATAGTAGAACAGACTTTAAGGGATTAAGGAATGGGAGGGTAATTACACTAACGTAACTGGAAAGAATTTCCAAGTGTTACATGAAATTGGAAGCAGTGGTACATGGACTACTGCACTGGTGTCTGCCAATAACTTTCACGCTGGCAGAAATAATATTCTGTAATTATAGAATCATTTAGGTTGGAAAAGACCTTTAAGATCATTCAGTCCAACCATTGACCCAGCACTGCCAAGTCCACCACTAAACCATGTCCCTAAGTGCCACATCTACACATCTTTTTAACACCTCCAGGGATGGTGACTCCACCACTTTCCTGGGCAGCCTGTTCCAGGGCTTGACAACCCTTTCTGTGAAGAAATTTTTTCTAATACCCTATTTAAACCTTCTCTGGTGCAACTTGAGGCTATTTCCTCTCATCCTATTGCTTATTACTTGGGAGAAGAGACTGACCCCCCACCTGGCTACAGCCAGGTAGTTGTAGAGATAAGGTCCACCCAAGCCTCCATTTCTCCAGGCTAAACAACCCCAGCTCCCTCAGCTGCTCCTCACAGGACTTGTGCTCCAGACCCTTCCCCAGATATACTGCTCTTCTCTGGACATGATCCAGCACCTCATTGTCTTTCTTGGAGAGAAGGGCCCAGAACTGGGCACAATGCTCAAGGTGTGGCCTCACCAGCACTGAATATAGGGCGACAAACACTGCCCTAGTCCTGCTACCCACACCATTGCTGATCCAGGCCAGGGTGCCATTGGCCACCTGGGCACACTGCTGGCTCATGTCCAGCCACTGTTGTGAACAGCACCCTCAGATCTTGTAAAGGGCAGGATTTGTGACAGCTAAAGCTGAAAATCAAAACTTCAGCTGCTACTTTCTGCCTTCTTATTTTGATATCTGAGACAGTGCTGTGATTTTGTTTAAGTTTTGCATAAATCTTTCTTGACTGGTGGATTTTGTAATCCCTAACAAGCAAGAGATCCCTACAACAATCCCTATCCAGCAACAAGCTGGATATACTACAGCAAAATACCACTACCTCAGCTGCTGTAGAGCACAGAGGATCTTTCTTTGATATTCAGACCATGATTGACCTTACTGTCTAGTTATTTTGGAAGATGCAATACATAGCCAGAGCCATCCCACTGGCACTTGTGCTTTTCACTGAGAAATGAGTAGTTATAAAAGCAGTTGTCTCACATGAAGTGGTAAAATTTGTTTACTTAAACTGGCCCTTGTATCTGTCTCCAAACTTAGGGTAATGGGTGAATATTTCACATTACAGACCTAACACCTTTAAATTTTCCTTTCTATTCAACAGGTCTTATTTGGTCACGGTACTCTCTAGTTATTATTCCTAAGAACTGGAGTCTGTTTGCTGTGAACTTCTTTGTTGGCTGTGCTGGTGGCTCTCAGCTCTTGCGAATATGGAGGTATGGATGAAGAAGGGCTACTGTATGTACTACAGCTAAGCACTCACACCACCTCATCTTAGCCAGGAGTCTATAACTGCTGCCAGCCTCAATGTCAGTGCAACAGGCAAGAGGAACTGAATGATGAAATATTGCAGAATTTGTTGCTACAGTGTCAGTTTTCCAGTGAAGTTCAAGTGAAGCTTTAAATATTTTGAGTATATCTAGAGCACATTTTAAGGAATGCTCTAGGTAAGCTGTAGTTTCTGGGATGAAGGAATTTAAAAGCTGCAGGTCTGACTGACAAACAGCCTAGACTTTGTCCTCCTCATAAGCTCTGCACTTCTGTCAGCTTTTAGCCTTAAATCATGTCAGTTCCAGCTGGATCAAAGGATTCTTAAGCAGAGCAGCATTTTAATTATTTCTTGAGGGGAACTTTGGAGTTCTCTGGCTTCAGTGCTGGCCAGAAATACAGCAAACAACTAATTTGCAGCTTCATACACAAGTTAAGATATCCTGTCCTGAGCTGCCACCCTCAAGTCTGTTGTAATTTTAAACCTCTGCTGAACAGGTTGTTAGGAAGACACTGTTATTGTACCTGGTGTTTTGTTCTATTCTTAGCCTGTGCTCTTTCTTTTTTTTTCCCCTATAGGTATAAGCAGGAGCTAAAAGCAAAACAGCAAGAGCAGCTGCAGTAAAGAGATGCTTAAAACCCAACAGGTCAAATCTTAACAACGCACAAACCCATCCCCATGGGACCTAGCTTCACTAATTTTAATGTATTCATCCTCTGAGAAAATGAAAGAGGAAATTTCAATGTCTAGAGAGCAAATGTTTTCTAAGTGCAAATAACAAAGTATCTCCATGCATTTAAATAAAGTGCAACCTTTTAAATTGAAGCAAAATTGTGTGTCTTGTACTGTCTCTTTAAAGAAACTGACTGCGGATTGTACCTAGAGTAAGTTGCTGAGCCACACTTATCTGACTCCACTGAAGAGTGCTGGGAGTGACACAGTACTGGTAACAGTCAGCCAGAGCCTCAGACTGAAGTGATCTTTCCTATCACAGTCCTAATTATAACCCTAATGGCATTAACCCTAACGGCCCTAATCCTAACCTCATCTTAACCTAACCCTAATGCCTTAACACTAACCTAACCCTCGTGGCCCTAACCTAACCCTGCTTTCAATACCAACAACAGTAGCACTTGCATTTCATTCCCTGATGTTCTTCCCTAGTCGCATAAGGACATTCTTCTCAGCTTCAGCTATGTGTATCTTCATTTGTTTCCCAGCCACCACTGTCCTTAACAAAAGGAGAGCGAACTACTATGTGCCACTGGTGTTTTATCTTCAGTCATCCTTTCCAACTCCAGGCAGAAGATGGGTGCATTGAAGTACCAGAGCTCAGGAATTTATATCCAGGGGAAAAGGTAACTGAGACAAGGTAGCTTCTTCAGGATTCAGCTTTCAGGAAAAGGAAGGCCTTGAAATACTGGAGTTTTGCAAAGTCCTGTTATTAAGCCTCCACCCCTACTTTCCCCCCACTTCCATTTTTTTCAGCATGGCCAGGGTGGAAAGGAAACCACCACACCTTGTGGCACAGATGTCCTCTCCTTTCTCACCCTTTGTATAATGTTACCCTATGTAAATTATTTGTGCAGGATACTCAGGGAAAGCATTTTCCATTCTTACAGGACATGCACCTGATAGTCTATCAGCTCCCCTTTTCAAAGGCTGGTCTGCCATGAAGTCACTTGTGTGTTCTGCTTGAGTTTCACTTGCATTTCTTGGTTCTTCGAGCTGAAGCAGGTACACAAGTTGTCAGTTCAAATGGAGAACTCTCCAGCTGTGTTGTTCACTGAGTGGACACAGACTGCAGTGACTGAAGAATATTACTAGAGAGAGAGGTGGTGTATTTCAGTCCCCCTCCCTTCCCAGTACCCAGTCAGGCAAGACTCATGCAGCAAACCACTAATGGGAAAAAAAAAGTGTATTAAAATATTCACAAGATTACAATAGAAAACATGAAAGTCCATTCAAGAAAAAATATCCAAGATAACTGTTTCCAGATGAGTCTGTAATAGCAAAAGCACTAACAGTTGGTACACTGGCTTTTCATATAATCAGGCTGTGCAATGTATATCTAGCTCCCTCACACAAATTAGACACCTGTCTTACAGGTGTTTGTTCTCTTGCATACCTCCAGGACAGAGGTTTACAAAAGAGAAGTACACAGTCTATGTTTTCAATTACATAAGAGCTGGCATTGCAGGGAGACAGAAAACATTGCACAGCACACTGATCTCCAAAGGCATTGAACTTATATTTTAAGTGCAAAAATACCTGTAAATGAAAGG